CATTAACTTCCCCCTCCTCGCTGCAGGTTACCAGAACAGGTTCCAGACATTCCTTCGGGGACTTTCCAAAGCAAAGGGCCTTGCTGCAGCACAAACCCAAGCGGCACGTGGTGCACAGCGCTGCCAGCCCTGGTGGGCTCCCTACATCACGTTGCCAGCTACAAGCAGCCGGCTGCATCCCCAAAATCTGGGTTATTCCCCTTTCCCACAGCTCTCCTAGAAAGCCTATGGATGAGTGTGCAGCTGGCAAGACCTCCGGTGCCTTGGGTTCTTGGGCCCATGGTCCCTCATCGTCTCATCTGGAGACGAACGCTCCTAATGCTAAGACATGGAGGAAGGAGAGCTCCCCAGTGAACCCTCTGGGGAAGCCCAAAGCCTCCAAAGACCCGACACAGATTTTTGCTGCTCCAGCATCAGCTGCCACACCAGCCCTCAACCCAGGACAAACCCTTTGGTGCTCCACACTCCCGACCTGCCCATGATGAGATGGGATGATGACTTCTCCTCCCACTTGCCCTATTCCCCGGGCACACGGTGAGATTGACCGACGTCACCTGGCAAGTCTTGGAAATCCCAAGTGGTTTTCCAAGGTGAGTGCGAGGCTCCTGCAGCAGCCCAAGCCCACGTTCCTGCCCACAGCACAGAGATACCAGAGCATTGCTCAGCACCAACCAGCGGCACAACACGGAGAGTGGAGATGCCTGTGGACAGAAGCACTGCCCCGAGGAGACAAGTGGCAGAAGCAGGAGGCAACACCCGCAATCGTCATGCACAAACCATCTCACTCAACTGGAATTGCTCCCAGGGCACCGCAGCAGGGATCAGCAGGGCTGGTGTCTCCTTCCAGGTAGAGAGTTTCACCTAACCAGACAGTCCAGGTCTATTTTAAGGTCCTACAGCGCAACTGTCCCGGATCATTTCACGCCGTAGCATTACTTGGCCTGCTTTCCGATGGCCAGGATACACCATCTCCGATGTCCCCTTCCCCTGTCACAGCCCTCCTCAGAAAGGCCGCCCGTAAAAGACACCTGATTTACGCCGCCACTCCTGGTGCCGAAGTCCCGCTCCGTCGTGTTGACTTGACGTATTCCTGGAATTCCCTGCGAAGGGAAAATGAAACCGCTCCTCTGCTTCCTGCTTGGAGGCACTTCCACTTTCTGTTAAATCCCTGTCTGTGCTCAGCTTCCCGAAGCTGCACCAGGGATCCTGGGGGGCTTTGGAAGGGAAAACCGAGTGATTTTTGAAGAAGACTTAACCAACAAACAACAAAGCAGAGCCTAAATTTGGCATCCCCAAATGCTGAGCATTTAATTTCAGGAGAAGTCTCACTGCTCACATGGCGATGGGAGAAAGCGTAGGGAAAGAGTGTAAGAAATAGGAGAATCAGGCCAAAAATAAGCAAGAATTTCACTTTAAGTGTAAAAAACACTTTAAAGGTGTTTTTTTCTTTATGATATTTCAATATTTGTTTTCCTTGCTGTCTGGAAGTTTCTGAAAAGGTTGAGATGGGGTCAACTCACAGACAGGTTATTTTCCTGCAACCGCAGCAAGAGAAAAGGAAGCTTAAGGGACGGGAGATGCCTGTGGTCCCCAGGCAAGCGGCACAAGAGAGACCCTCCAGACCCTCTTTCCACTTACAGCGGGATGGCCAGAGCTGCCACTTCTCCAGGGAGATGCACAGCAGGAAATGCATCCAGTCAGACTGGGGATACGAGGACCTCCACGTATCCTCTGGGATACGGGTGCCATGATCAGCCATCACAGCATGCAACTAATTATTCTTAATTAATTTACTTCCTTGCTCCATAGGGTTCTGAGCTTGCAGAGACCTCGGAGAGGCCACCAGGCTCCCGCATGCGCCAGCCCTGGCTTCCCCTCCTGCCCTCGCAGTGCTGCTGTCATTAGCCAAGCAGCGGCCTCCCTCCTTCCTCCCGAGCCTCTCCCTCGCCCCAGGATGTTTAATAAAAACAGGAAGAGGCCACAGCACCCGGGAGCCTCTGGGCGCTTGGCAGGGACAAAGGGCCCAGGCATGGAGCTTGGCTGCCGGAGCACGGCGAAGGCAGAGCAGCTCCAGGCTCATCCCTGCCCACTGCTCCAGGCGGCTCATCCTCCATGGAGGTGGGAATTCCTCCTGCGAGGGGCTGCGCCGGGACCCATCCAAGCTGAGCAGATTGCACAGTCGGGAGCGACTGCTGGAGGAGGCGCCGGATTAAGAGGGGCCAATCCTCACCCCGAGCGCTCTCCCGCGCGGAAGGGCCGTGGAGGCGAGCGCGCTGCCCGCGCCGCGGGGCCACCCGCGTGCCGGGACACGTGCTGAGGTGGCCAGAGGGAAGCAGGGCCCATCCAGGCCTAGCGGGCGCTTCCCAGGGCCGCTCCACACCTGCTCGCCGGAGCTCAGCCCTTGCTTTCCGGCCAGCGCTCCCGTGCAATTCCCTCTCAACAGCGGCTTCTCCCGCCGGTCCCCCCGCCCCAGAAGGAAAACAAACCCAAAAGCACAGCGTGTGCCTTGCGAAAGTCCTGTCCCCGGCTTCACGCTGCTCCGGGCCACGGGCGCTGGTCACGGGCTCGCTTGTTTACATGTGCTTCGCAGTATATGTCTCTAAACAAAGGCGCCTATGCATTGGACGTATTGTTGCGAGCGGCTTTGTTTGCACAGCCTGACCCCACATCTGAACCCGGCGGATCCTGCGGGCCGCGAGATCAAACGCGCTAAAACGTGACCCTTGCAAACTAGAAAGCGGCTCTGATAATTATAGCCGGGCGCTGGGGCGGCTATTGTTCGCTCCGGGCCGGCACCGTGCGCGCGAGCGGCTGCTCCCGAAGGGATGCCCGGAACGCGGCCTGTGCTTCACCTCCAAAGCCCCTTCCCAGGCACAACCGGAGCACGATGGAGAGACCCAAGCTGGAAGCCGAGGGAGGAGGGAGGATGAGGGCACGGTGGGATCTCTGCAGGAAGCCGGCGCGCTTGGAGGGTGGCGCCGCCGCCTCCCCGCTTGGTGTTCGGTGCAAACCACTGCCGGGGAGGGGGAAATCGTGCAAGAGAGTGGAGGGAGGGCTGGCAGCACCGGAGCCGCCCCCGAGCTGCTCGGGCGCTGCCCTCGCCTCCCAGACAGGGAGGCTGCAGACGGAGATTAATTCCTGCTACCGCCAGCCCGGTGCATATGGTATCAACCACGGAAAGCCAGGGAGCTCAGCCTCGCCACTTGGGATGCTCTTCCCACCCACAGGAATACGATGGACCCACTGGCCTGGGAGCACGTCCGGCGCCCCGTGTCCATGCAAGGAATCTGGAGCACTTCTTCCTTCATGCCCTCTGAGGTCTTCTCGCAGCGGTACCCAGCCAAGCTCCCACCCCACAAGGTCCTGGGGCGAAAGCCGCAGAAAGGGCACTGCGTGCGGGGAGAGCGGCAGGACCGCCGGCACCCGGGAAGCGGAGCCGGGCAGCGGAGCCGGGCAGCGCGGCACAGGACAAGCCGCACTAACAGCCTCTTCCCGATGCACCCAGAGCCGAGCGCGCACCCATCACAGAAGCAACTCACTGACCCGCTGCGCGCTCGCCTGCGAACCCGCAGCCGCTCGCTCCAGAGGCCTCCGCACCACCAGTGAGCAGCCTCCGGAGCAGGAGGCGGATGCCGACTCCTACAGGCACTCTCTTGGGCACGTAGCTTTCACACCACCCAAACTTTCCTTGCTTAATTTCTTTTGTTACAACTGCTGCCTTTGCAGCACTGCCTTGGGCTGTCCAGATATGATCACAGAGCGCAGGAAACAGGCAACGGCGTGATGAGTTTCCTGGAGATCTGACACACACACACGCACCTCATGTGCCCCATCTATCACAGCAGTCAAAGCTACCGTGTGTCCCCAGCCCCGCTTGCCAGCTAACGGTGTCACACACTGAGTGCTCAGCCCTTAGATGTGGTCGAGCTTGGCCTTGATTTTATCTGCACACATTCAGGGCTGCAGCGCGTGAGCAGCAGTGTTGGGAGCAGAGGGATCACAGGTGGCTCTGCCGCCACTGGTCCCCAAGCGACACCTCCCACCGCTCACGCAGCCCGCCAGGACCGCCAGCCTCCCCGACCGCTGCCAGCATCCCGCTAAAGCAGCCCGAGTCGCGCCCGCTCATCCCGTCCCAGGAAGCAAGGTGGATTTTCAACATAAAGATGCACAAGATCTTTCTCTGCAGACAGCAGCACAGGAGCCCAGGACTGTCATCCTGACAGGCTCAGAGCCCTCTGCCAGCACCAGCTGAACAGAGGAGTGTTTGCAGGGAGCAAAGTCCCTTCTCCATGCCCTCCATGCCCAGCGCAGCCGTCAGCTCAGCCAGGCTCCCTAGGTCCAAGCGCAGCTGAGCGCCACACACCGTTTGCCATCCCCCTTGTTAAAGCCCACCAATATCACAGCCCCTTGGCCCCTGTGCAAGCACAAGCAGCTCGTGCTGCCGGGCTGCCCTTCGCAGCCCAACGGATGCGGCTCCTGGGAAGCGTGTGTGAGACAGATGCTCTCCGTGCAGCCGCCCCCGAGCGCGGCTCGTGAGATAAGGCAGAAACAGAGTTAAGAAAAACAAACAAACAAAATATGGATAAAAACCCAGGTAGCTCCCTCAATCAGTCAATTTGCATTATTACTCCCTCTATGAAACACACGAGGCCGGACTAGCTGCGGGCACGCTTTTTGGATGAATTACTTTTAATTGACTGCAGAGTAGCTCCGAAACATCTGATACTGTTGTAGATAAATATAGCAAGGGCAGAGAGGGGGCAGGGAGCAACCGCTGTTCAACGCATCCGAGTGGCAGCCTCCAGCTCGGCGGCAACGCTGCCGGCGGGGCCCACGCTGCCGCGGGCCAGGCTGCTGGGACGAGCAGCACAGCCCTCTGTCTGCCCGCTGGACACGGCGCAGGTAGGGCTGCAGCTGGAGGTGGGCAGGGGTGCCCGGCTCCCTGAGCGCTGGCCGCTGGCATGGGTGCCCCACGGGGCAGAGCTCCTGGGGCCGCTCACCTGTTTTGAACTCCAGCGTGGGGTCCTTCTCCTCCAGGCCCAGGTCGCTCTGCAGCATCATGTAGAGGATCCCGAAGGAGTTGTGGATGCCGAAGATGGAGCCGTTGCACCAGGTGGCGGCGAACACCACGACCCAGCCGAAGCCGCCGTCGGGGGGCTGGAAGGGCGCGGCGGCGCCCGGGGTGGCCGCGGTACCGGCCCCGGTACCGGCCCCAGCCCCGGCGCCGGYMCCGGGCCCCGTCTCGCCCTCTCCCGCCGCCGCCTCCTTGTCTCCCGCCGCCGTGTCGCGCTGCGCCATCGCGGCCGCGCTCCGGCCGCCGCTCGCCGCCCGACTGCCCCGCAGCCGGTCCCACATGCCCGCCGGCCCCGCCGCCCGGCCCCCCCTTCCTCCTCCTCCTCCTTCTCCTCCTCCTCCTCCGCCTGCCGCAGCCGCACTCCCCGCCTCCCCTCCACCGACTCCATCCTCCTCCTCCTCCATCGCCGCTCGGCCCCGGTTCCTGCCGGCGCCCCCCGCGCCCCGGACCCGCCCCCGGCGCTCAGAGGCGGCCCCGGGCCCCGCATCGCCGCCCCCGCCGCATCCTGCGCCGGGCGCAGCCCCCCCGGGGCGGGTCCCCGGCGGCGCCGCCCCGCGACGGGGCCGGGATCGAGATTGGGATCGGGGCCGGAATCGGGATCGGCGCTGGGATCGGCGCTCGGCCCGCGGCGGGCGCGTCCCGGGGCCCCCGGCGCGGGAAGCGGCCGCTCCCCGCCCGGCTGCCGCTTGGCTCATGGGACGGGAAAGGGGCTCCCGAGGAAGCGCTGGGAGGCGGTGAGGGGGGATAGGGGTACCCAGAGCCGGAGCAGGGGGTGGCTTCCCGCTTGCAATGTGCACTGACACAAGGGGACCTCCTAGCCCACCGCAGCCAGATGCTCGTCCCCACTTTTGCCACCCAGACCAAAGGAGGAGCTGGGAGCAGGCTGGCTGGGTAGCGCCCTGGAGCCTTGCAGGAGATCCCACTTGGCTCCATGCAGGTTTGGCCAGGGCAGCCTTCGGCTCATGGGTATCCTGCACCCGGCACCGTTTTGAGCGCGCTTTGGCAGTGAGCGCGGGAAGCTGGGCTGGCTCCCGGCTGATGAACCCAGAGCCAGGAGGGCCATGGGGCTCCCACCAGGCCCCTGGATGCCACTGGAGTGGGTCACAAGCTGGGGCTGTGACAGGGGGCCTGGCGACAAGCTGCTCAGCAGGATTATCTCTGTCTGGAAACCCCTCTCCCTTCCCTGCCCTTCCAATAACTGCAACCTCAGCGCCCTATCAAAGCCTGTCTTTTAACACGCTCGCACTGTTTGTGCTCTCCTCCGTGCCAAGCTGGAGCTGTGGTTCCTGCTTTACCCAGGTGCCTGTGCCGGTGTCAGATTCCTATCTGAGGAAAGCACTATATGCCAGCCCGGGTGAGCAGAGCATCATCCCTGCCCCTAGGGGTGCCTTGCAGCAAACCCGCTCCCGCCGCGGCCTCGCTGCTCCAGGGCTGCCTTTTTCTTTCCCTTCCTCTGGCCGAGTCTCCTCCCCGGATCCCCGCTCCAGCACCGGCAGCTCTCCAGGAGCTTTGGGAGCATCTTCCACTGCCCTCTGCCGACACGAGCCAGAGTTATTCACAGGCCCTGCTGCTGCCTGCATGACGGAGCTTTGAGATGGATTTTATTAACCATTCCTCCCCGCGGCGGGATTGCAAAGTTGCAAGGTGTCCCCATTGCAACTGCTTGCAAATGGGGGGGACCGCGGCGGCGGCCTCCTGCCCCACAACAGTGCGCAGTGGCCTCCCACTGGTGGGGATTTGGGAACATGGGGCGCAGTGATGGAGGTGCCTGGCAGCGAGATAGCCAGGCCAGAAAGCCAGAACCAGCGTATCCGCCAACCGCAATGCGGGGACTGACCTTCTCCCCCTTTGCACCGCGTGCTGAGATGCCACCAGGTGCTTCCTCTTCCTGCTGTCCTCGAGGGCGTTGGAGCTGCGCTGGGCCTCAGCGTCACAGGTGCTGCCTGCCACGATGCCAGCGAGCTTCAGCTCGACCCTTCCTAGGGCTGCAAAATCGGCCCACTCAAAGCTGCTGGCCAAGCAGTTCCAGATGTTCCAGATGCAAGAGAGCTGGACAGGGCAGATCCTGAGAGTTTTGCACCTTCGGAAGAGGCGGTGTGAGGAGGAGTGTTGGGTGGGAGGAGGAAGCCTCCTTGCACAGGGACCCCGCTCACCTGCCCCACGCTGAGCCCCGCGGGGCCGGGCTGCCGCAGCGCCTCGCCAGCGGTGCACAAAGGTGGCAGCGAGCCAGTCGTAAATTAATATTTTATAGAACACCGCGGAAAATCAGAGAGGCTAATTACAGTGATAATCATCTGGGCCTCGAGGCGCTTCCACGGCAGGTGAGAATTACCCGGGATTACCTCCGTGCTCCCAGGCTGTGCGGGCGGCGGAGCTCGCGTGGTGGGGGGAGCCGGGAGCCCTCTGCGCTCCACTCTGGAGCAGCCCCCTTTCCCGCTCGCGGTGGTTGCACTTCCCAAAGGGTCGGATCCGGCCGGGATGGCAGGTGCCATGCTGGGGCGACTGAGCTGGTGTATGCCGGGGGCTGCCGAAATAGGAGTCGTGGATGCTGCTGGGAGGCAAAGTAGGTGGAAATCCCGGGACACTCGGGACTTCACTGACAGAGGAGCATGTGAATGTGTCCCCCAGGACATGCCGTTCCCAGGGTTTGTTCATTAGCTGTGGTAATTGCTAATTGGAGTGCTTTGTCTGGGGAGTAGATGCACTCCCCATCTTTCTCATGGTTTAAGGACAGTCTCCTTGGGCTGTCTTTCTCAAGGCATCCCTGTCTCCAGCAGCGAGCTGGGCAGGATGGGCCCTCAGGCTACTCCCCTTCCTCCTCCTTGCCCCATCTCAGGGGTCATTGTTTCCCAGCCTGGCTCACGGAGGGGCCTTCAGCTCTCCCCTGGCCCAGGGCTACAGCACTAGGCCACAAGGGCCTTGCAGAACACAGTTGTCCACCCTCCTTGGCTCCTCACTGTACACCCTCCTGGTTAGCAGAAGACCGGGATAAATTGCTAGGGAATATCCAAGGTACAGCCCAGCGGAGCCCCAGTGACTACCACGGTGGTGCCAGCTGTAAGCACTCCATGACACTGCCCAAAGCTTACACAAGGACCTGGAGAGCTACTGCCACCAGCTCTCCCAAACGGGCATGGTGGGGAAGGCGGCAGGTCCTGAGAACATCCCTTTGGCAGTGTCCACCATATTCCTCCCTTTTGACCACCACTCGCAGCATGACAGCAACATTCCTCACCTGTACACTTGCTTCCCATGTAGCACGAATATACCAAGAGGTCCCTTCGATGAGCTACCTGTCAAAGTAGCACCCGGTGTGTGGCCCGGCACCCTCCTGGGTATCAGATTTACAGGAAAATAGCCCCCGCCACGCAAGGGCTGCAGTTGCGCGCCGAGTGCTCACCACACTGTTCGTATCTGCCCACGGGCTGCGTTTCTTTGCTCGCTCGCGTCTTGCAGACCAGATGGCCAAGCAACCTGGGCTCGGCCGGGCGCGCCGCCCGTTCGCCCCGTGCACCAGCAGGACTTGCCAGCACAGTCAGTGCCAATGACCCTTCACGGCTACCCTGCCTTGAGAGTGGCTTTTGGCATGGGAAGGGGTGCAAGGTGGGCCAGGTTTTAAGGAATGACGCTCCAGACATTCCTGGGGCAGAGGCCTGAGGTGGTTGTGATGCGATTGCAGTTTGTGGATGTTGGTTCCTGGCAACTCATGGCTGAAGATCCAAGTTCAAAGGGTCCTTTGGCTGATGCGCTGGGGGAGAGGGATTTTCAATCTGCTGCCTTGATAGTGGTTGCTCTCCAGTTCTTCCCTTACAAACCCAGCTTAATCCAGCCCTGGAGCGCACAGGAGAAAATCAAAGCATGACTCATCTGAAGCTAAACCTCAAACCACGCTGCAGGTCTCGGAGATGCTCTCGCACTTCCCCACGCTGCCTCCATGGAAGTGGGAAGGAGAAGCAAGTGCAGCTTCCGTCGTGCCAGCTCCTTCTTGCTCCAGCCTGGCTGGTTCTGCCCTCTAGCAGCAGCAGAGCTTACAGCAGCTCGCGCTGTCCCCGTGCTGGGCCCTTCTCCATGCACCCAAGGAAGCGGAGCTGCCACATGTCCCCAGAAACACCTGGCTGTCGCTTGGACCCAGGCGGGCAGCGCGGAGCGATTCATTCCCGTAGCTCTTTGGCCAACTTGGAAAATAACTGCTTGCCTCTGCGGATGGTCGATGGCCATGGAAAGGGACCTGTGGGTAGAGCAGAGGTGTCTGTGGGGATGTCACCCTGGATGGGGAGAGGGGACGGAGCTCTTTGCTCATGCACCTTGTTGTAGGGACTCCTGCTGATCGTCTCATCCCCCGGCAAAGCGGGCAGCAATCCCGACCCTCCCGGGACCCAAACGGGGGACGATCCACGTTAGGGGTGACCGTTCCGCGGCGTTTTCCCCAGGGAATGTGGACCATCACAATAAGGACCCTGCGCGGGAGCGGCCAG